TGCACATATATATTTATATGTAATATATATGTATATATAAACAGTATGTGTATATATACACATATAAATCAATATATATATCACACACACACACACCACGCACGCACGCACACACACACACGCACGCACACACACACACACACACACACACACACACACACACACACACACCACACACACACACACACCACACACACACACACACACACACAACACAGTGCATATTATATATATATATATATATATATATACATATATGAAATATATATGCATATACATATATATATTCATACACACACATGCGCACACATTCATACATTGTTTTTATTACAGTTCTGGCAAAAGAAACAGCATCTACTCATACATAGCTTCTTGTGGCGTGCAGAGCATCAGTCTGAAGAACGAATTATTAGTTTGTATCGTATTGTTCAGAGGCACTTCCTGCTAGAGATTTTTTTCTTTTACATATGTTGATGATTAAGTGTATTTTTGTGGGATAACTACGTCTATGTCAGTTTCTTGGGGAATATGTCTGAAAAGTTTTGTTTAAAAATGTTACAAAATATAGATTCTCAATCATTTGTTTATGTATTGCCTATGAATGTACCTACATGCATATATGAGTATGTGTGTATACATATATATAAAAATACACATATATGATTTGTGTGTGTGCGTGTGTGTGTGATAACAATGGATATAATACATATACCTTAATGGGTTTTCCAACACTGGCTGGCAACGTATAGTCAATAGCAGTCGAAGTTCCTTGTTCCTGCTCTTCTCCCACCCCCACCCCCTCATACCCAACTAAGCCCCTCTTACCCCCGCCCCTCTACCTACTACCTAGCTGAAGACTGGTTCTGGGCAGTTACTAGCACAGTCTAGTGTTCCTCCGTCCCTCGGGAAAGTTCCATGACGCATTTTATATAACAAAAGGCGGTTTTTAAATTACGTGGGTTTGATGAGATGCAAAATGCCGAGAGAAGAAAACGATGTTTCTTGCCGTTTCGAGTCTGAACAGAATCCTCTTCGGGAGGCGGTCGTTCGCTATAGTGACGTAGAGGAAGGGAGGTGGAAGAGAGAGAGAGAGAGAGAGAGAGAGAGAGAGAGAGAGAGAGAGAGAGAGAGAAGAGAGAGAGAGAGAGAGAGAGAGAGAGAGAGAGAGAGAGAGAAGACAAAGACAAAAATAGAGAATATACAAACACAAGAAAAAAATAAATCGTATTATCCACAGGCCATCCAAGTTCCCCAGACAATCCCCCCTGAGATGAACACGAACAACAGCGTCCCCGCGTAAAGGAATGACAACCGGAGGATGCTTAGACAATCTCCAAAATCTTCCTCGGGGAGACCGGGTAGCTTGAGGAAGGGCGAGGGCGAGGGCGAGGCGAGGCGAGAGGCGAGGCGAGGCGAGGGCCGAGGCGAGGGCGAGGCGAGGCGAGGCGAGGCGAGGCGCGAGGCGAGGCGAGGCGAGGGCGAGAGCGAGGGCGAGGCGAATCACCGCGTTCAGGCTGCCACCTCGAGCGCAGATGCGAACCCCAGCGCAGTCCAAACAGGCGCGTGGAACTGGGAGGATGGAGGGGGGGGAGGGGGTAAACGTGAAATATGGGCTTTATAATCCTTTTTTTAATTTCTTTTATTGCGGTTTGAATTAAGTACGTTCGTATATGTATTATTTATCTTTGTCTGTTTGCCTCTGTTCTCTCTCTCTCTCTTTCTCTAACTCTCTCTCTCTTCTCTCTAACTCTCTCTCTCTCTCTCTCTCTCTCATTTTATTTATCTCTTTATCTGCCCCTATTCATCCATCTATCTATCTATCTCTATCAATTCTGTTTTCAGTTTATCAATGTATCTATTTGTTTCTGCTTTGTGAGGGGGGGGGGCGTAAGTGTGTACATACATTCGGATGTCTGAGGCGCCTCTCCGGCCGCAGACGTAACCTTAACTGAGCACCGTTAAGAAGCGCGTCCGGCCTTGAGTGAGGGACAAGAAGCAGTCGCGCATAATCAAGTATAGCCACAGCAACAACAACAAAAATATAGACGTCACAATCGGAATCAGTCTGGAGGATTGAATGGCATCCATTACGAAATCAAGGCACGTCACTCGATCCTTCTCGGCGCCAATCTTGTTTTCAGATCGGAATTGGGTGTCTGGTTTCGGCGTCTATGGAACTATGGCGGCTAAACCGGCTCCCCCGCTAGGCTCTACTGGGAGAGGGGGAGCAGGGAGGAGGAGGGGACTGGGAGGAGAAAGGAGGGAGGGGGAAGGGGAAGGGGAGCAGTGAGGAGGGAGGAGGAGGGAAAGGGGGAGGAGGAGGGGAAGGGGGTGAGGGGTAGGTTGGGAAGGGAAGGGACAGTGAGGAGGAAGGGGGAGTGGGAAGGGAAGGGGAAGGGGAGCAGTGAGAGGGAGGGGGATAGGAAGCAAAAAGGAGGGAAGGTATAGGGGAGCAGGGAGGAGGAGGTAGGGAGAGCAGGGAGGGTGGGCCACTAGCTAGATCCCCCTAAGCACTAAAGACAAAGATGATTAAGGTGAGTTCAGAAGGTGCCAAGGGCCATAGGTGTCCTGGTGAGGGTAAGGGCACCTGTTGGGAACCTGTTTTAAGAAATCCTCGGCGGACAGGCACGCATGTAGGATAAGAAGTTGCTGCTGTTTAGAAGTAAGCACCCTACGGCCTTTAGATCATAGATGGCGTTGCGGCGGCCACAGGTATTCCTTGAAGCAACAGCAAAAATATCCTTTGAAATTTTTGTTTAGTCTCTCTCCCTCTCTCTCACTACACTCCACGCACACACACGCCACACACACACACACACACACACACACACACACACACACACACACACACACACACACACACACACACACACACACACACACACACACACACACACACACCACACACACACACACACACACACACACACACACACACACATACACACAGAAACACCCATACACACACAAACCAGTGCGCGATATATATATACCTGTACGTACGAATAATACTATGCCTATGCCCAAAACGGAGCGTGAGCGCAGACAGCCAGGTCAAGAGTCGTATTCAAGAACATTCCCAGCATAAAGTGCCCGACAAAGCTTCGAAGCATGAATCTCTCGACTGTTCAACGACAAAGATCAACTTAAGTCCAAGTGCAGCCGACACTCAGGAGATTTTTGTCGGATCCGTTAGTTGGGTCCCGAGAAAAGTTTCTTGAGTCTGCAATAAAAAACACATACATATTCTTTCTTTATGCAATGATGAGAGGAGAGAGAGAGAGAGAGAGAGAGAGAGAGAGAGAGAGAGAGAGAGAGAGAGAGAGAGAGAGAGAGAGAGAGGAGAGAGAGAGAGAGAGAGAGAGAGAGAGAGAGAGAGAGAGAGAGAGAGAGAGAGAGAGAGAGAGAGAGAGAGAGAGAGAGAAGAGAGAACAAGGACTTCTCTTATTGGATAAGTCCTCCTCTGCCTCACAGAAGCCGAGGTGAATTTAATTTTTGTATTTTGTCCTGATACCCCAAGTCATCTGTCTCCGTGCTCAGTCGTTCTCACCCTATTCACCCCCTGGGCCCGTGTCGATGCAAACATTATAGGGACTTCCAAGGCCTAGAGTACGCGCAATACCCTTGTCACGCCATACAACAGAATCTGACGAGGTAATTTTTCGAGTCCTGTAGAGATATAAACGCCCGCCCACGGATCCCGATAAGACAAGTTGCTAAGCAGAAAATCATTAGGAAATGGGACTGAAGTGTGTTCTAATACTAAAGAATGGTATTTAAACCAACATGTGAAAAGCCAATTCTAAAAACTCAAGGACGACCGTGCTGAACCCCTTCCTGTGTGAAAATATTTTGGCACTGTCGGAATGCCATCATTAGGGTTATTTTGTAATTGTAATTATCCTTGCAAGTTATGAGAAACGAAAATCGATATGAATTTATTCATAATTCAAGTAAACCTGTTTATGAAAAGTCATTATTCAAAATCAACGGGAATTGAATAACATAATGTTAAACTGAGTAGGTTATTCGAGTTTTGTTTTTTTCCTCATCCTATGACCCCTCTAGTTATAAACACTATTACATATATGCTGTAAATTAGAAAGAACGAGGAAGTTATGCTATAGGTGAGAACGATCGGACATGTGGCAAACTCACATATATAAATAGCTACATACAGTTACAAATGTGTGTGTGTGTGTGTGTGTGATATTTAAGTTGACATATATGTGTATATACTGCAAATACAAGTCAACAATGTGACACAGAGAGGCGAAGGTTGGCCCGGAGTTGACGGATGCCATTGACACCGTAGTCACGTTTCGAGCTCAGATGTGAAAGTTGCGAAACAGAGATGGGAAAAAAACGACAATGTCTAAGAAAAGCAAACCACCAATTGGGAGGAGGAAACGGCCCTTTTCCCCTTGTTTCCACCAATTTCTTCTCTTTTTTTGACCACAGTGGTCTACTTACTGCACGAATTGCATTAACAGACCATAGTTCCCATTTCAGTTTCACTTTTCTATCACTTGTAGTTCATATACCTACTTATGTGTATGCTACTTCCATAAATTAGCCTTTCATCAGATTTCTTCGTGATTTACAATACTCTAATATGTTATTACTGTATTATTACCATACTAGCTACATGTATAGATGCCCTCATCAACATTATTATCTTCCAGATTATATATTTAATATGTAATTTGCAGAAATTCAAGACATGTGTATCTACAAAACAGAAATCAGGACCTCAGATTCGCAACATCTCTCTCAGATTTTCAGTTGGTTTCACTGTTATTCAAATTAAATTAACACAGATCATCTGATATAAATATTAATATGAATACTAATGATTCCCAGGTTAAAACCACATTTCCCTCACCGCCAACACTTACCAAATAAGGTGACTATAGCCTCTCAGAGATTGGAGTCTCCACGTGTCTTCCCCCAGACTTGAACATATAAAAGGCTCCTCTAATACATACATTTACCCTCAGGCCGCCAGCTACTACTGCACGCGGATGGGCTTCGAGCCCTTCGCCTACAAGGGCTTGGAGACAGGCTCACGGGAAGTGTGCTGCCACGTCGTTAGACAGAATAAGGTAGGTGTATTCGTGATTATTATGTGTATGTTTCTTGATATTATTTTGAGTGCTCTTTTAAGCCTTGTAGTAAATTTTGCAATCCATTGCATGTGCTGTTATTTAAACCGTCAAAAAGTAGCAAATTACCTGTCCGATCTAATCTAATAAAACATGGAATTCGTGATGACAAACTCAAACTCTAGCCTTCCATAGGCTGAAGATATTATAATATAACATTTCTTTTCTCTGACTCAGAACAATTTCAGATAACTTTAGGCCTATTATATCACCCTTTCCTCTGAAAGATCCACCAGAATAAACAAAGACGACAGTCAAAAAAAACATTCATTCATGATCATTTGCGTTTTCGCCCTCAACCCGGGGAACGAGGAAAAATGGGCGCCATTACCACGGAGACGGCGTCAAGGACATCGCCTTTTCCGTAGAGGATCTCGATTCGATCATGAAGGTGTGTCTCATGGCCGCCGGTCTTTTGTTTCGGTTGCGCAGGAAGTGTTGTCTTGTGTGTTAGTACTAGTGTGTGTGTGTGTGTGTGTGTGTGCGTGGTGTGTGTGTGTGTGTGTGTGTGTGTGTGTGTGTGTGTGTGTGTGTGTGTGTGTGTGTGTGTGTGTGTGTGTGTGTGTGTGTGTGTGTGTGTGTGTGTGTGTGTGTGTGTGTGTGTGTGTGTGTGTGTGTGTGTGTGTGTGTGCGTGTGTGCCTTTTTTATGCGTGTGTATGTTCTCTATGATTTCAGGTTTGTGTAATACATTTTTTTTTTTTTTTTTTTTACTACATACCATATACGATTCTGTTTGCTACTAATGACTACCTTGTCAGATTGGCTGTCATAATAAACACAACTTACAAGAAGGTAGAAAATAGAGAACCCAAAACAGAATAATATTTGAAAAACTTTTTTTTCCTGATCTCACTTTATGCCTAAAAAAAACGATCGAAATTTGACAATCCAAAATAACAAGTAATCCACTGATGAGGCAAGCGATAAAGAAAATTAGAAGACCGAAACCGTAACGATCTTTCCACCACTAGATGGCGAAGGAGCGAGGAGCGAAGATCGTGCGCGACATCTGGGAGGAGGAAGACGCGGGAGGGAAGGTCCGCTTCGCCAAAGTCCAGACGGTAAGGTTCAAGAAGTCGGGGTTGAGGGAGCCCTACATGGGAAATTAGATGAAAAATAAGATTGTCAATCAGTGTAGGTATAATAGAATTAATCAGAGATGAGTTTTTTTTCTATGGAGGTGGAGCATGCTTGGGGAGGGAATTTGTTTTGAAAATCCTGGTCAGAGTCAGAAAATTAACGTAAATGTCTGTCTGATTCATATCTCCTGTTTATAAAATACAGTGTGGGTAATTCAGGCATATTACTGAATCATATTAAGGCATGCATATTACTGAATCATCACTATATATTTGTAGTTTGATTATAAAATACATCAAATTACTAGGAATATAGCAGTGTTATAGATTCATGAAACGGATAAACACAATGACAACATAACAGCATACATACAGTAGGCTGTTTCCTGTACAAACAGTACGATCTTTGTATTGAAAACTATCTTTGTAGTTTTATAATAACATCAATTATAACAGTAGTAAAGATTGTAATCTGTCTAATGATACATATTATCATTCTGATAATCCATTAGAATAGTAATAATCCATTTGATAATTTCATATCTAATTTAGACGCCATAATCTAAATCATCATGATATTCCATGTAATAATCTAAATGATAATTGTATTTTAGATAGCTATGAATAGAATCTCAACAATAATTTTAGTAATCCCTGTAATTATTTTTATATTGATTATGGTATAGATAGACGTTATTGTAATTATATTAGTGATGATTCTAGTTGTAACATTACATCAGTACCCATAATAATCCGTGTAAAAATAAAAGATATTAGTTTTTTTAATGTTAACTGTAGTTGGACTATGGAGAGCAAATCATTGTAATAATAAAACTGCAAAGTAGCCATGATAATAGTAATGCTTGTAATGATGAAGATACAGCAATATATATGATATTCCTTTTAATAACAAAAATAGGGATATATGATAATCCTATGAAAACGAAATACAAAGACAATCTTCATCAACCTCGTAAAAACAAAAAGATACTTATGACAACCCCTTCTATAAAAATGAATGTAAAAATCAACGGTATAAGTGCTCATGCCGTGCTCTTCCACCCCAGTACGGAGACACCACACACACGTTCGTGGAGCGAGGAAGCTACAAGGGGCTCTTCCTTCCCGGCTTCCACGCTCCCCTCACCGGACCCGACCCACTGCTGACCAACTTGTAAGTGATTGCGAGGATTGTGTGGCTACTTAGATAAGCTGTGAGGAGTTGGTGGCGTGTGGCTGAGAATGTGTGAGGGAG